AATGAGTATAGTGAAGTTAATGGAGAGTAATGTCAATCTGAGCCAGCAGAATAAGCCATCAAATACTTCACCAAAAACATCATTTCATCAGTCTGTGAGTTGCTGTATAAAGGTGGATTCTCAATATGACGCATGTGCGTCCATCATGACCAGAAGTGTTGTATAAACCAATGGGAACATGCGTCAATGCATCAGATTAGAAAACATTTCTATTCTGACGCCTTGACGCATACACCCATTGGTTTATACAGCACTTCTGGTCATGATGCTAGCGCATGAAAAGCAATGCGTCATATTGAGAACCCACCTTAAGAATAAAGTATAATGTGCATGTATGTGTGCATAATGTAATGCGTATGTACATGTATATATGTATCAATGTATGTTGAGTTTACTTTTTGGCTGAAGAAGTAAAGAATGGTAGAAGATTAGAAGAGGAGGAGGAGGTTGGTGGAGAAACTTTTTTGTTCATTCCAGAACTCACGTAATTCAATTCATGCAAGATATTCCTCTGACAAGAGGGTCTCTTAGTTTTGACTTCTTTATCAAACGTGTTGCTATCCTAATACATTAATACATACATAGCCAGTAAAAGGAATGCCATTAACATTAGAACAAGAATAACTAACTTTCAAGTTAGTGTCATAATCTGAAGGTGTTACATCTGGTTGCCATGGTGGCGACACCGGTTGCCATGTTGATGGTCCCGGTTGCTGTAAAGTAGGAACTGGTTCCAATTGCGCTGGTATTTTGAGTAGACCGAGTTTTGGAAGAGAAGGAGGGAGAGGAGGAGGAGAGAAATCGTCATCAGAGAAATCATCGTACATGGTAAAGAGATCAGGATCATAAAACGAGATGTCTTCCTCGGAATCTCTTTCAACAATTACTTCTCCTCTTTCTCTCTCTCTTTGTAATGGACCAGAGTCATCATATGAAGATGGGCCAGGAAAAGAGAGAGAGAAAGAAGGAGGAAGTTTAGTCTTTGGTACATAAGAGAAATCTCTTTTCATGTTGTCCCTGCGACTGAGGTAGTCCCTGTAATTAGAGCTCGTTACTTTTAGTCTCTTCACTCCAGGAGTGGGTGGAATATTTGACATGCGATTACGCAAATCGCTAACATGTTCGGCCATTTCTCCTGCTTTTTGCTTCCTTTTCATTGGAGTAGCCACTTGTAGTGAGCTAGAAGGCATACTTGTAATACAAGCATCCTAATACAGCACATATAGAAATAATTGAAGATTACACACTTACTGTCATATTTCCATTGCCACTTGTATTTACACCATACTTGCAACAATCATGGCCACATCTTTTAAATATTATTATTATTAAGGAAAGTAAAGGGGGGAATACAATTTACATGTACATAGAATTAGGCTATTAATTCATTGGATACACTGCTTTGTTAATGCAGCGATGATTGCAGAGTTTCTGTCGGCTCTTGGGGCCACTTTTGCCTGATAAAAAAACATAATCATAATAATAATAATAATAATAATAATAATAGAACATAATGAATACCTTTGGACTTAGTATTGGTTACATTTAATGATGCCTGAGGCTAAAATTGACAAAATAAGACATAAAACTATAGTCATGA